TCTTCTGTTTGATCAGAATTTCTACCCTTGCTTGTTTCATTTTCAACTGAATCCTTCTCACCCCCTGTATTCTTTAAGGTATCAGTTGACCCTTCTTTTGTGCCTTCTTCCCCTTTAACAGAATTTTCTCCCTGAGTTCTACCCTCTGCATTATGTATTGTCGCTTCCTGCACAGCCTTATTCTGAGAAGATTCAGTTTGAGATTCACTTGTTTCGCTCTTTGAAATGGCAGTAGTATCCCCATTACTTGCATCTAAGGGTAAACCGCCCATATTATCCTCAAATGGTTTGCCTTCAGTCTCGGATATCTGTTGTTTCGTCTGGGAACTGTTATCCGATGAAGAAATGTCTACAGGAGCTACAGCTGATGAAGTCATCATCCATACCCCAACCACGCAAAGAGCAACAAATACAACAATGGTCGTAGTTGAGCAATATGGTGAGGACCTCCGAGGGTCTAACCGTTGATTTCTTCCTAATGGCATATTGTGGCATGGAAAATCAATCCTAAATCAATGTAGGCCTGAAAATGCAGCAAGAACGATATGTAAACATCAATAGATGATAAATTTCATGTTTATCAACCTGAAAGTATTCGCCTAAATTTAGAAGACAATAAACTTAGTTGAACTGCTAAAATATATCTGATGAGATTCACAACCTATAACAAATATCATAAAAAAATTTATAGGCTAATTAAAAAGACTCTTGCAAATCTGCAATTGAAACTTTTCTGCAATATGTTGCCATGTTTTACAAACTTTTTTTTCCCATTTATATGTCGAACATAAGATAGGCAACTCCGAAGTCCTTAATAGGCCCATCATCTAAATTCAACTATATTTGAAGAATGTAGTAAGGTTTTCAATCAACCAAAACTTCCCCAACCTGACCGAAATCAACCAAGGAAAGTCCCGAACAATTTCAGCAACAACCTACAGAATTACATATAATTCAGATTAATCCATTCAATTCTTGTCTCTCTCAAATTCAATATATTCATAGCGCAGCCCTTATCCATTACCTTGATTTCTCATATGCTTCAACAACATGAAATTTTTTAATTAAAAAAATTATGATATAAAAAAAAGACCCAAGCTGAATTGCTATAAAGAATCGATAATGCAGTAGGAAAAATGAAAAAAAAAAGCACAATGCGCATATACCGCTTTCTATACAACGAAAAACTCAAAACTCTCGAGATCCCCGTCAATCTTCGTGATATTTCAACAGAATATTATCATCATCTCAGGTTCTTAATTACAAAAAACCCTAGACTCGATGAAAACGAACAAAGAGGCAAGAATTCACATAAAAACTAAGCACTAGTAGATCAACTAATTCGAACAGTTTGTACCTTTTCTTGCAGCTTGAATCGAAGAAGAGCAAAATAAATGGAACGATATACACTTGAAATCGAATTCTTATTCTTTACAAAAAAAAATATTTTTGTTTTTTAATTTTAAAAAATTTATATTTATTTATATGAATTAGAGAGAAGAGGGAGAATATAGCCGAGAGAGTGAGAAGTGGAGGGCCATACAAGGGCCCGATTTATACGGGTCTGTAACATTTTACTTGTCCTTGCGGAACATTTTAATTAGAAAGATTGGATTAATAAGACAAGAAATTTTTAGCATGTGTGAATGAATTTGATTGGAGAAAGCGGGTTGTTATGGTTATTAGCTGCAGGAGTATGATGGTGAGAAGAGTATGTTATCGAATAGGACGATTCACCGATTAACAGTGACAGCTCAGCTGAAATACCTAATTAAGGGGCTGTTTGGTTGTCTTTTTTAGAGGTTGAATCCCTGTCAAAACTGACAAAAATTGTCAGTTTTGACAGGAAATCACCCAAAAATGCCTCTAAAAAAGACGTTTTTGCAAGACTCTCTGTCAAAACTGACAGTTTTTGTCAGTTTTGACAGGGATTCAGCCTCTAAAAGAGGCAACCAAACAGCCCCTAATTCAATGTAAATGGGGCCCACACAATTAATCAGTGGCGCTTAAAAGACAATTATTCACTCTTATAGTTCCTTGCACTAATTTGTTTTTGAATAATTTCTCCCAAAAACATTTGTTTTTCGAATAAGGGGATGTTTGGTTCAATTTCTAGAAATTATAGGAAATGTTTTTCACCCAAAATATTATTTCCTTGTATTTCTTTAAAAAATTATAGGAAAAGTTTTAAGAAGTCAAAAAGTACCAATTTTTTTTTTTTTTTACTTTGCTTGTTTGGTTCAAAACAAGAAAATAGCTCATAACTTTATAAAAAATGGGTATGGGATGGGTTTTGTTGATTAAATAAGGAAGGTGTCAGATTTCTGTTGATTTCCTCTCATTTTGAGAGGAAATTGTTTTTTATAAAATTTGGTAGTTTTTGATATTTTATAGAAAATATTTCTATAAGTTTTTTGTTGAACCAAACACAATTTACAGAAAACTATAGAAAACTTTTAATTACAAAATTATCATTTTTAGATATTTTAAGAAAAAATTTCTTAAAAAGTGTGCAACCAAACAGCCCCTAATACTCGTGTATAATCTGTTAAGTACTAGTTCTCTAAACTCAGTTTTTATTTATCAATTTTTGTTCTATGAAATATCGAGACCTTTTGCGTTTTTTTTTTTTGGTATTTTCGGGATGAATAAAAAAGAGAGAATGAATTCTTCAACAAGTGCATTATTGTCACAAGCAGATGACAACCAAAGCATTTTCTTTGCATTAAAGAGGTAAGAAGATGAGCATAATTCGTGTACTAACACGATAATGTTTAATGATCTTTATATTGCACTAACTCAAGGTTAAACAGTTTTTATCGCACCATCAAAATCCATTCATCTGAAAAAGTTGAGTTAGACTACTATTAATAATATTCAATATCCTATTATCTGGATGTTGCCAATAAAATTTAAAATTCAAATTTGCAAATTGAAAACTCATGCTGTAAATGTGACTTACCTGCACCACACATGGACTATTAAGTTTTAATGCTCTCAACGTGTTCTTAAATAGGTTTAAGAGTAAACAATTATGCAGTTCCATGAACATCGTAGAACATTAAATAGGTTTAAGAGTAAACAATTATGCAGTTCCATGAACATCGTAGAACATTGATTTTGACAATTAGTGTTAGTATTTGTTTGTAAAAAAAAAACAAGATAGTCTCACATTGGAATTTTGAACATTCTTTTAGAGCATTGAATGTTTATTGGGCTTTGAATAATGGATCAAAGTGTAGGCTTCTAAACCCGCGTGCGGGTAGCGCGATTATTAGACGCGAATAATGCGTGATTTTTTATATATATAATTATATATTGAATATTTTTTAATGTTATTTTGAATTTAAAAAAGACAAGTGACTGTTAAAAAGTGGCTGTTTGCTCCAAAGGGTGTTTTGAAAAGTTATGACTGTTGGAAGCACCTTTTCAAACCTATAAATAGTTTATGTTTTCAGATATCTAAAAATAATTCTTTTCTGAATCTTTTTTAATCAAAAAACATCTGCAATATTACAAACTTGTTTCATAACGAATTAAGGAAAATTCCAGATTTGCTTACTGTAATTTTTATTTTCTGTTGTATCCTGGGAAGAAAATTTACATTAACCCGAAGCAACTTTGAATATCAAGTGGGGGCAAATATTTCTTTAAGGAAAGTGTTTCACGCCTCAGAATTTATGTCTCCTTTATTATTTTAAAAATAACAATCTTAAAGAAATAACTCTGCTACAATGGAGTCGGAATCAATCAAGGTGCTGAATCAAGACATGGTCAAATTGGACCGATTCGACGGAAACAATTTCTCTCGCTAGCAAGATAAGATAATGTTTCTTCTTACAGCATTGAAGATCTCCTACATCCTCAACCCCAACCTACAGCCCATAGAAGATCCAAAACCAAGTGCAGACGGCAAACAACCTACTGAGGAGGAAATAGAAGAAATCAAAAAGCAGAAGGCAAAACGAGAGGAAGATGAAGTGTTGTGTCGCGGTCACATTCTGAACACACTTTCGGATCGATTATATAATCTTTTCACGAGGATAAAGTCGGCAAGGGAGATCTGGAACGCATTAGAATTTAAATACAAAGCCGAGGAGGAAGGTACAAACAAGTATTTAATTGCAAAATATCTAGAATATAAAATGGTTGATGACAAGTCTGTCCTAGAGCAAGTTCATGAATTGGAGGTTCTGGTTAATAAGATTCATGTTCTCAAAATAGTTCTTCCAGAGTCTTTTCAAGTTGCTGCAATTATTGCAAAACTACCATCAACTTGGAAATATTACTCGAAGAAACTAATGCATAAAACTGATGATATCTTTTTGGAACAACTTCAGAAGAATCTTAGAATTGAAGAGGAGTCACGCTTACGTGATTCGAAAAATTTTGTCCAAAGTGATTGTAAGGTCCACACTGTGGAAATTTTTTTAGCTCATTAACATTGTCCAACTGGACCTGCCATGTCATCAGTCCCAGAGAGCTGTTCCATTCCTTGGCCCTCCTACCATCCCTCGTCAAAGTTGGCCCTTCGTTGAACGCATGCGTCCAAATCCTGAGGAACCCAAAGTCTCTGATCCGTCCTTTAAAAAAAACCCCAAAAAAGAAAATGGCCACCAACCCACCATTACGAAACTCAAGGGCCACCTGTCACGTACCGATAAGCCACTGAGGATTTGCTGCTGCTGCTGCTGCTGCCGCCTCTTGACCGAACAAAAGGCCAAACCAAACGAAGCTCAACCCTAACCCCTAAAATTCCCAAATTACCAAAAAAAAAAAAAAGAAAACCCAGAAATCTCAAAGGCGCGACCTTTCTCTCTGCTCTCAAATCTCCGTCTCTCGCGATGGCGGCGCGCTTATCGTGCTCCCCCTCCACGGCCATCGGCGCTTCGTTAATCCCCTCCTCGTCGAAGCGCGCGGCGGTGAGCCGATCCATCTCCGCTCAGCCTCTCGGTCTCCGGCGGTCTTTTTCCTCCATCTCTTTCAATCCTCTCCGGAGATTTGAGGTTGGAATCTAACTCGTTAATAGGTCTAACGGTCGGAGATTTTAATGGTTGGTGACCTGATTTCGTTGTTTTGGCAGAGATTGGAGGTGCGAGGGCGGAGTTCGAGCTCACTGAACGGCGCGATGTACGCCACGTGTGCGGCATCGGATGTGAGCCAGTTGAAGAGTGCGAGGGAGGACATTAAGGAGCTGCTTAAAGAGAAATTTTGTCACCCTATTATGGTAATCTTTTTGCTTTGATTCCTTTGTTAAAAGGGCTGAACTACGAAGGATCTTTAATGCGCTATATTAGGCGGAATTTCATATATTAGATTGTTCAAGGAGAATTTATGTCCTCCAAAAGGACGGGCATTCGGACAACGATCGGATTTGTATGCAAAGTTCACCCTTGAGTAGAAGTTATCTATAGTGACATTTCCATCTTGTTAGCTCTAGAGATTATGGGCCACTTCGGTATTATTGGAGCTTGCTATAAGTTGGTTACATAAGCAACTTATGTAAGCCGCTAAAGATAGCTGATTGGTAATCACATATCAAAAGCTGTTTCCAAAAACAATTGAGATGTTTGGTAAACTGTGCTTGAGGATTATTGTAAGTGAAATTACCAAAATGCACCTAATTCTATATCCATGTTTGTTGGTGGTAAAAAAATATTTTCATGTTCTAAATGATATATGTAAAAATAGAAGCTCCTTTTAAAAGTATCCTCAGGTTACTACTAAAAGCATCCTTAGGTTGTTTCCAAAAACGCCATTTATAAAGCAGAAGCAATTTCAATAAGCATGTAATTTTTTTTATTAAACACCATTATTGGCTGCATCTTTAGAAAATAACCAGAAGCTAGTAAACTGGGCCTAAATAGAAGTATGAAGAAAACAACCCAATAGTTATTGTCTACTGACTATTTTCTGCACCCAGGAGAGAAGAACCTTTGGTAGGCACACTAATTAACGGATCCCTATTTTGCCATGATCCAGAGATAGTTATTGTTATATCAACTACTAATCGATAAAGATTATCGAATAGTGTTCGAGGGTAGAAAGGGTAGCTTTTTATTCCTCAAAGAAGGCAGAGTTAATAAGGAACCTCTCTTTAGCAAAAAGGGCATTTTTGGGTGTGGAGAGGGGGAGATTTTTCATAGTGGAAAACTCTACCTTCTCATCACACTAACTTCATCATGACCCCCATATTCAAAAATAGAGCTTACATCACGTACATATATGCTGCACAACTAGCATATAGCAATATTTCATCCCTACTTAGTACTTACAATAGATTGGTTAGCACTAGGAGAGTGTAGTCATTCTGAGGGAAAATATAAACCAAGGAGTCAAATTGCCTGCATTCTCAAATGAAACCTGATATTCCTGAAAGATTTTTTCGAAACAGAGCTCCCGTTCAAGAGCAATAGCTGACAGATGCAACCTTCACTAACAGCAATAATAGTATCATGCCAGTGGAAATTTCTATGCAACTGGAGTTTCAAAATGATTATAAATGGAAACATTTGTGTTTTGTTATGAGTATTTCTGTACAAACATGGGTTGTTCAATGTAAATTTTCCATCTAGATTCTAGGACACCACTATGTATCTATGTCTTGAGATTTCTGCATTCTTGACATGTATGTGAGGATTTGTGAGTGTATTGTCACAATTGGATTAGATATAACTCATCATTGTGGGAAACTTGACTGGATGATGATGGAGTATGATACAACAGACATTTATAAATATGGATGATGATGGAATATGGTACAAACATGACTGGATGATGATGGAATATGATACAACAGACATTTATAAATATGGATGCTTCATTATTCTTATTATTGTACCCGTACTCCACAATTGATATAAGAGGCTTCAAAAAAGTTTCATACTAAAAAATAGGACTGGTAACCTTGTCAATGGGGTTAGAGTTTTGCGATAACGATAATGGCTACGAGGCAGTATAGTCATTGACAAATTTCTGCCGTCATCTTGCTCAAGCACGATAGACTTGGTGAAGATTGTGCACTCCAATGCACACCATCTTCATACACATAATTTTTGTCAATTAGTCAAAGACCACCTGCCACACTATGCTCATCTTTCTCAAATAGGTATCCACATTCGTCCGATATCTTGACCAGCCAATTCAGAAAGGAAAAGCAAGACATGATGTAGGCTGGAATTTAGAAAGTGGGAACTAGTCCACCTCCTGAGAGACAATCCTTTTCGACAAGCAAAATAATGACCACTCGCTATCTAAGGAGGTGCCAATTCAATTTAGAACATGTTTGGCAAATAGTCCGAGTGGCTTACAAGCTACAAGCTGTTTTTGTGGCTTATAAGCCACCTTGAGATGTTTGGCAAATGGCTTTTTTAGGCTTACAGTCCATCCAAAAAACAAAGGCTAGAGTACACTATAATTTTGTTGTTGTTGTGGTGGTGGTGTGTGTGGATTATAAGCCATAAGGTTTGACCAAGTAAAAAACAATTGTACCCCTTATGATTTCACAAAGTCCAAGACCCCATCTAATAACTCACTACCAATCCTATGTCTTTTTTGATCAATTTTAACAACAAAGATGGATATAATCCACCCATTTGCCAAACACTATTATTGAAAGTAGATTATTATCCATTAAATTTACCAAACTAGAATTAGTCCAAAGTTTCCATACATGCTCTTAATTTAAGGTGGTAGGCTTCACATGGATCCCAATTAAGGAAATAATCCCATATTGTGAGAGGTGGCTACATGGTGGAATTGGCAGAAATGATGTATATGAGTTACTAGCAAAAAGTGCATGGAGTTCAAAGAGCAACTCATATGAATATTGGAGAAATTTCAAGTTGACTATGGAGGTTGTGTCCAATGAAGTTAAAAGAGCGTCATCAACATGTTGATGAATAGAAGACTGGAAGGTTTCAACTAGTTTGGATGAGAGCATCGTCACTAGTTTGGTAAGAATGTTGTAAAATACATCTGATGCAACGCTAAATTGAAGAACTAGGAAGATACTTAATCTCCTTGTCAGAGACGATGATGACATTTGATTGTATTGGAAATGCTACTGATGTAGAGGAGAAGAAGCAAAGAGATATCTATATATCCATTTGGTCCAAAGTTCCTATCCCTCAAAAGCTTTATCAACAATTTCCAATCAACTTTGAAGCTTTTCTCAAATCAAGTTTTACCCAAACAAAAATGAGAATGGTCTCTGAGAATATCTTGTGCATGTGTAAGACAATCAAGAATAAGGTGGTCTCTGTTGTGTGCGGGTTGGGTGTGTGATCAACATAGAACATAATTTTGGAGCTATGGTGGTTAATGACATGAGCATCATTTGCCAGATGATTCACAAACTTTGCGAATGAGGACTGTATGGATGTCAATGATTAGTGTATCAACCCTTAGGCAGGGTATTGCAAAGAAGGCATTTCTAGCCAAATAAATTGTGACTAACCAGTAGCTTTCTTACAGTTTCCACCTTGTCCTCCTCTCATTTCATTTATATTAACTTAGCATGAGGACTGTAGATTTTTGAAATATTATTGACATATTGCTTTCTTTATTGGATCATTAAATCCACTCTAACACTAGTACATGAATCTACACCAGTTAACCAATATTTCATCCTAAAATTTCAACAACAAAATATGTACCAATATGTCATCCTAAAATTTCGACAACAAATTATGTAATCTATCAACATGGTAAGAAGCTAGGTTAACGTTTCTCACTACAAAGGTGTTGGTATAAAAATACTTTTTAGGTAAAAAAAGTAGTAGTTTTCTTTTGGTTAAAAGCATGAAATAGTTAGGGAATCATTCTATTCTTGTTTAGTAATGTCAAACTTGATCTGAATCTTCTTAGATGAAGTATAACTGAGTGCAAAACTTGATGAGTGTATCATCTGCTTGATTCATGCTGGCAGATCCGCTTAGGGTGGCATGATGCGGGTACATATGACAAAAATATTGAAGAATGGCCAAAAAGAGGAGGAGCTAATGGAAGTCTACGATTTGAAGTTGAACTTAAACATGCAGCCAATGCTGGTAATGTATATCCTCATTAGCATTTTAATACACAATCTCATTGCTTGGTAATATTGAAAGATCTTGATAATGGTAACAGGCCTTGTGAATGCTTTAAAGCTTATTCAACCTATCAAGGACAAGTACTCAGGTGTTACTTATGCTGATCTATTCCAGTTAGCAAGTGCTACAGCTGTGGAGGTCCACTTTCCTTTTCTTTTTATATGCCTATTCATTATATTAACTTAGGATAAGTTTAGAATTGTTTAATTATTCATAATTGAGTTATTGTTATTTCTCAGGAGGCTGGCGGCCCCAAGATTCCTATGAAGTATGGAAGAGTAGATGTTACTGGACCTGAGCAATGTCCAGAAGAGGGGAAACTTCCTGGTGTGATGCTAAACCTCATTAAGTGTTTTGTGCATTTGGTTTTTATTTTCTTTATATATTTGCCTCTTGATAGTTGACCCACTGATTTTCCAAGGTTTTCATCATTGACATGGTGATCACCAGAAAAAAAAATATTCCTAAATTAGCTGACTTTTTTTCCTTCTTCTGAATGGTGCATTTTGTTAACATCTGCTTTTCCCATGAGTGCATTGTTGTTACTTGTTTTTTAATGTAGTTCCAGGAACTTTACTTTATTATTTGCTTGAGGAAACAGTTGTCACAGCCTACACTTGAAAAATGATCTTTTTTCTCCTGAAATAATTAAAGAAATAAATCAATATTACTGGTAGATTTTTAGTCGTGTTTCTTAAAATTAATATGATAATATGGGAAAATCAATAAAAAATGGTCAGTTAAATTACAGATTTTCACATGTATTTAATTGAACTATTTATTTATTATTATTTTTTGTCCAATCAACTTCAATATTGCATATGCTTTATTGTTTAAGCTATGGAATAGGAGTTGATGTGCTTTAAAATTTGTCTCCATGCATCTGATATTGTAACAAAAAAATCAACAGCTGCATACCTGTAATCTTGACTGCAAACTGAATTTCATTTCCACTTATATCTTTAACACCTTTTTCACCACAAACTTCGCTTTAGGCCCGTACACCCACTATTATAATGGATAATTGATACAGTAAAATGCTTATGCTTAATTGACGAGCATGAATCTAATTAAAATTGAGGATATCTTTGCATAAATTCAGTCATCCAGATCCCATCCCATTTTAATGTAAACACATGAAAGAAGTGATACAGTATATGCAATTTATGCTGGTCCAGGTGCTTGGATAATGCTTTTTCTTGTTTAACACTCTTGACTTTGTGCTTCTCTGTCTTATATTGCTCCAGCTTCCTTTCAAATTAGTAATTCACTTTTTCACTTTCCAATTAGATGCTGGACCACCTTCACACATTTACGAAATGTATTCTACAGAATGGGACTTAATGACCAGGTTCACACTTGCATCAAAATTGACGCTAAAGTTATATGAATCTCTTTAACATTCTGTAGCTTATAGAATGTTTAACATGCATGAAGTGTATTCTGTTGCTTCAGGAAATAGTTGCACTATCCGGTGCACATACACTTGGAAGGTCTAGACCAGAACGCAGTGGTTGGGGAAAACCAGAAACAAAATATACGGTATTTATACAAAAACGAGTATTGACACTACATATTATTTACGTATTCATTTTGTAAGTAATATTAGTGAAGGATTGCTCGAGTTGTTTCTAGTCAAGGCTTGATGGTTGTAGTTACTTACTGCTATTCATTTGTCACAAAACTTGATCCGATTGTTATTACATATATCAGAAAGATGGGCCTGGAGCACCAGGAGGACAATCATGGACGGCACAATGGCTGAAGTTTGATAATAGCTATTTCAAGGTAAGGCATCTCTTTTTTCAGGCTGCCTCTAGATTCATCATTTGTTGACTGAAAATTTAATGATCACAATTTCCTAGGATATCAAAGAGAGAAAAGACGAAGATCTGCTAGTTTTGCCTACTGATGCTGCTTTATTTGATGATCCATCCTTCAAGGTAAATGAGGATACAGATCATAGACTCCATCTCCATAATCAGAGATTAAGAGAGGTAATTTCTAACATTATTCCTATACTCAGGTCTATGCTGAGAAATATGCTCAGGATCAAGATGCATTCTTCAAGGATTATGCTGAAGCTCATGCCAAACTTAGCAATTTAGGGGCCAAATTTGATCCTCCTGAGGTATCCGTTGAAATTTGTTATGATCTTTTTTCGTTGAAATTACAGGAAGAAAAAAGTATGATTCCATACTTAAAAACTGATCTCATGAAAATTTGTTGAGTAGGGCATCTCTATAGATGAGGCAGCACCCGAGAAGTTTGTTGCGGCAAAGTATTCCTCTGGCAAGGTCAGATATTTATTTTTCTAGTCAAATATTTCTTCTCCTTGTAAATTTTTCATACTATTTCAGATTTGTTGACATGCTTGTTATGTCAGTCTTCATATTAATTGAAGTTTATATTTTGTTACTTTCATGACTTGCAGGCTTAAGAAAAAAAACACAACAAATCAGTCTTTTCTTCTGAAGCATCCTTTTAATAACACAAGATGAAGCTTTTCCAACAGTGTGATAAAATTTGGACCTTAGATATAGTCATAAGTAGAAGAAATAAATGATCAAACTTGTATTTTGAATCATTTGCAGAGAGAGTTGTCAGCGGCTATGAAGCAGAAGATTAGGGCAGAGTATGAAGCACTTGGAGGGGGTCCAGATAAGCCTCTCCAATCCAACTACTTCCTTAATATCATTATATTTGTAGCTGTATTGGCTCTTTTATCATCTTTGGTTGTAAACTAAGTACTATATGTAGTTATCTATCGTTTTTGTCGATCCTCTTTCCAATTTTTTCGAACTGGGATGTGATGTTAGCTCATATTCAATGATCATGCATATTTAAGAGATTGCTTGTTCAGTTGCATTACTGAGTATCGCAAATATGTGCAGTTTGCAGTTTAATGTCATGCCTATCAGTTTCAGTGTTGAGATCGCTAACAGTTTGTTCATAAGAGGCAAATAATGTTTCTGGTTGAGCTCAATGTTGATCGTACCGAATCAGATGTTCCTGATAACAGTGCATCTCATGCTAGAAAACTGAAGGAAAAAGGAGCCTAACTGTGTCGGTTTAATCTGAGATTTGGATCAAGTACTAAAGAGATAGTATAACGTTATTCGCTGCTGTTTATTCATATTTTTCCTTTCAGTTTAACACGAACAAAGTAAAGATATTTGTTTAGGGTAGAGCTAATTTCTCCAGCAGTGGTTCTGACCGCTACAAGTTAATCTCTGCGATATCTGGCTTCAAGAGAGCTTATATTGCATGCGTATGTATATTATTCTTCCATTCCGTTATAGAGTTAAATGTTCTTATATATGTCTAGCAAGCTTAAATCTTGCTGTTTCCTGGGAAAATGTTGCGTGCAAATCTTATTTGTTCGATAAGAGAATTGGTAGAGATATACCATTGCAGTTTACAACTATATCTATCTTTTTGGAAAATTTCAAACACAGTTTCGATTTCTCACGAAACAAATGGACCCTCGTGAGTGAAGAAAATAAGACCAAATTCTGGAGACGAGCTTATATCAAGTTTGTAAACAGTTTAAAAAAATAATCTGGAAATCTTAATCAATTGCTAACCTAAAATTTGGCGAGAAAAATAATGATGCAGATGTCAATGAAAATTAGTTATGACCAGTCATCCTCCATGTGGGCTCCATTTTTAAGAGGGAACATTCAAGTATCAAACAGGAACATAGATTGGGCTGCCTACTCAACCTAGATTGCTTGTCCCTCACAAACTCACAAGTTAGTTGCTATCTTGGTGATCTAACTCTATTAAGCTATTAATAGAGCTGTTTTCATAAGAATCTTATCACGATTCAAGAGTAGGTTATCTACCAAGAGCAGACTTTTCAATATTTTATGGTTAATTACAGAGGATACACTCCTGTATTATGAGGGCACCTACACCTTCTAAACTCTAGACGGTATGTTTGGTTCATGTAAAAAAGAAATTATCTTTTGCCCCTAGTTTAACCGGGGAAAAAACCGGGGAAAAAAAGACTAAATTGCTCTTTGAATTGGGGACAAAAAAGACATATCATCTCAAGGGCTGGGGGTATAAATGTTAAGGAGGCATAAGCTACGAAAACACTGTAATAAATAGAACGTATCTACGGTTGATCCATATTTTTATCTGTATGAATAAACAGAGGAATGTACCTAGTATGATGCTGACAACAAAATCCCAACAAACTGACACATTGACCTCTCATTATATAGCAAGTGCTAGTCTCTTGTGCTTTAAAATCAATCCGTACGCATTCATTGCATTCTAGAGTTTCAACATGTATCAAAATCATTCATTCATTAACACAACATAAAAAATAAAAATAAAATAAAAAGATGGTTTGTGCCAAAAGAAGGATACATTCATTCAAACAAAGAGTAATTATTTTTCTGATATCCATCATTTCTCTTCACTACTGTAAGAAAACCTCTAACATCATCAAGAGGATTTGGAGAAAAATAGAATCATAATCAACCCTATGATATCACCACTGAGCAAAGCCCTAACGATTTTTTGTTTTCTCGGTGTATATGGGGGATATCTGGCACCAATTTCGCCTCCAAAATTGCGTGATAACACGCTTTTCTTGTGGCTAAAGGCATCAAAGGAGAACTTTCCATGGTATGCACCAGTCCCGCTCTCTCCCACCCCACCAAATGGTAGATTTTTGTTCGCCATCTGCAATAAAAATATGAGAAATCAGTTAATTTTCAAACTAATTAGGTTGATATGATGCAAATGTACAAGGACAGTCATGTTTTCAGACATTAAGGATACCAATATCATGCACGAAAGTTACTCGATTGGCATGTTTCAGATAACTATTCTGAACTATTAGAGATTTTGCAGAAAACCATCTTAAACTTTATTTAAGAAAACATCACACGTGTCTAACTGGTGTTAATGAAAGTTATCATGTGATAAACTTGACTCTAATGGACAATTTTGCCTTCAATTAGCTTACATAAGTACACCCTCTCATCCTCGCCCCCTTGAACTCTGTGTTAAGAGGTATTAATCTTTTTATATGTGCCATTAAGAAGGAAACATTTTCTGCTGATTTCAAAGTTTCCCGTGACTTTTTGAATGAAAAATATTTCAGAATAGTTCCCGCGAAACCAGTAATATTTCGTGGTAGTTTGTTATTTCACCCTATGTATAACCTCATTTGCACTGAGAGAGATGGGAATGAACAATAAGCTAAGAGAAGTAATACAGTTTATTTTTTCAATGTTTTGCTTTCTGCAAGTAAACAAACAGATACGGGCAAGAGGTAGATACATGCATACATGCAAATATAATGCATACATAAAAGAAGGGAAGATAAGAAACTTACGTGCAAAACTGTATCATTGACGCACATTCCTCCTGCAGAAACATTTTCCACAAACATCTTCTCTAGCTGCTTATCGTTGGTAAAGAGATACGCAGCAAGAGGTTTCGTTCGCGAGTTTATGAAGTCAAAACTATCCTGGATCTTGTCGACCTTCACAAATCAGTGTAGAAAATATCAAAATAGTGTTTCAATCTTTACAAACACAAGTGATTGTTTAATTTGCTTTTCGAGGTTCTTACTGTAATAATAGGAAGCAACGGACCAAATATCTCGTCCCTCATGATCAGAGAATCTTCTGGAACATCCAACATAAGTGTAGGAGCTATTCTTCTGTTATGACAATAAAATAAAGTCAATCGACCGCATGAATTAGCAGAACAAAAAAAGAATACAATATTTTGCGCTTAGCTTACAGGCGTTTCTCATCTCGTTGTCCCCCATATACAATTTTTCCAGAAACCAAATCGTCATCCAAGAGCTTTGACAAGCGTGCGAAGTGGTTTGAGTTCACAATGCGAGCTAGATCTGTTGATTCTAAAGGGTTTTTTCCATAGAACTTCTGTACAGTAGCTATCATCTCATCCGCCTAATAGAAATAAAACAAAGTTAATTAATAAAGGTATCATAAAAGTTAACTGCACATACATTCCCTGTAGTGTCATCGTTTTTTACTCTTTTACCCTTGGCGAAATTTCGGCAGATATTGCTCCCGGGTGAATTTAGAATTTAGTGTGAGTCGATTTGAGGGTAAAAGAGTTAAAACGGGAAAAAAAGAAAAATTTTAACCTAGGAAATCTATCTGCAACAATGATAGTAAGTTCAAAACAGCGAAATTACAGGTTCTATGTGCAATTAACCCCAAAAACAAACATATAGTAAGCTTTGGCGTGAGAATGCTTACGACTTTTGAAGCAAATGATTTTGTTGTAATGATATAATCAGGAGCTATGCAAGCTTGACCACTGGTACATCCCCATTTACCAACTGCGATTCTTTTCATTGCAACCTTGAAAATGAAATGGTAATAAAAAAAAATGAGGTTGATAATTATCAAAATATAATTCAATAAGTTTGTTTATTGATAAACAAATTTACTTTTAAGTCAATGTTTGAATCAACGACAACAGGGGATTTTCCTCCGAGTTCCAAGACTACTGGAGTGAGGTGCTTCGCAGCTGCAGCCATCACAAGGCGGCCTACTCTTCCATTGCCTACACAATTGTGACAGACAGTTTTTTAAAATAAGCCAACGTCAGCGACATATATTGAATGTTGGTCGATTTTATTTTTAATGCAGTTTTCGTAATACACGAGATTGCAATTCTGTGTAATTTGTAAGTGTCACGAATAGTATCACAAACATATTTTAGGATTTATAAGTTTACTTCTTCGAAATGTTTTGAATAAAAAATATTTATCAGGCATGCATGGTTGAATTATCACTAATCATGCAATTCCGAAGGTTATGTCACAGTAGGAGATCTCATAATATACTCAACTATTCCAAGAAAACTGATGGTCTTGAATAAACTGGCATTAAAATTAATTTGCAAGGCCACTAAAAAGATGGTGAGCAAAAGATAGTAAACAAGAACCTGTATAGAAAATTTTATCCCATTTTTGCTCTAACAGAGCAGTTGTTTCTGTCACAGCTCCCTCGACAACTTTTACACATAAGTTATCTGTGTACTGAGGTAAAAGCCTCGCGAGTAATGATGATGTTGCCGGAGAAATTTCTGATGGCTTCAAGACAACTGCATTACCAGCTGCAATAGCTCCAATTACTGGCTCAATGGATAGCACTGCAAAGAGGAAAATAAGATGGAACTCTGTCATAGAATAATAGAATAAAAATAGTTTTACTAGCAATTTAACTCGTATGGCATCTATTCACACATTCAGCTCTGATCAATTGAATGTCAAAATCAAATGTTAAATTCGTAACAAGCTACAAAGTTAAAGGATTCCGTAATCTTTCGCAAAAATTTTACTAACTTAACGTGAATTTCAGCATTTAGCAAAAAGGGTACCATAATGTTTTTTTTAACTAGACTACCATGCCATACGTCAATTGGGGCTAGTTGTCACGTGCTTCACATCTCACATTTTGGACAGTTTTGCCCTTATGTAGGGCTAGTTGTCAAGTGCTTCACATGTCACATTTTGGACAGTTTTGCCCTTATGTACTTGTTACTTTTCCCGAGAGAGGTTTTTTTTCCATGTTAGGGTCGACAGATATTAAAAAGGATAGTTTAGATTATTTATCCAAAATGTTGACGCCATTAATGATGGTTACCATTAATTCACTGTGTATTTCCAGCCTTGAAAGTTTACCGTAATTTCTTCAATAAAAAGCTAGGTCCTTTTTATGAAAAGCAAAGGATAAAATAGATACTTACAGAAGGGATAATTCCACGCAGAGATGATTAGCACAACACCAAAAGGCTCGGGAACGATACTTGAAGTTGATGGGTAAGTTGAAAGTAGAGTTCCAACCTTGAAGGCAAAAAAAAAAAGAAAAGAAAAAAAAAGGGGGTCACAATATGAAAATAATTTGCCTCAAGTATTTTTCTTAAGAGGAAGCATGGATTTAATACCTTTTCTGGTTTCATCCAGCTCTTCAAATTCTTCAGAGCAACCATACACGCACCTTTTGCCATTGAGATCTGTATTATAAGAGAATTTAGGTTATATATATAACAGGCAAAAGTACATTTATAAGGGGGAAATTTTGATGAAATTCAGCTTAAGTAGTAATGAGATTTTGTTGAGCAATTCATTTCTGAAAAATTATTTTATGTCATAAATCCAATAAAAAAAGATCATGAAATTCGTACTTCGCTTAGAGATCCAGTGCCTGAGATAACAAATTCTCTCTTTTGTCGCAGATCTCACTCAAAAGATGATGATTGATGGGGGGGGGGGGGGGGGGGGGGGGGGCTTAATCAACGAAAGAGGATGAAAATAAAATGGTCCTCATAAAGATGCACGTTTCATTTAAATTGTTCATGATAGAATATAAAACTATCACCCTCAAACCTCATCAAAACTAAACTATTAGGTCAAAATTATCAAAGAAATTAGTATTAACCCTAACTAATTGTTAGGGCTATAAAACGATAACTCTCAATCTCCCACAGCTTCGGAGTTTTGGCATTATGGTTAGGTATTTTAAGATGGTATCAGAGAAGCAGATTTTAGAAAAATTGATACTGCTACATGAGTCCAGATTTCAACCTATAAAAAGGACGTCCAATGAGGCAACGTTAGAGTATAAAACAATAACCCTCGTCACAACTTCGAAGTTTTGGTGTAATGATTAGGGACTCTAAGATTAACAGAATTTATTGGATATAAAGCAACAGAAATCCAATCCAGGAAATCAACTTATTTGTAAACTTAGAGTTCACTCCTTCGTTAAACAAAACAATCCCTTGAACGCGCATGGAGATCAACAAAATCACAGAGGCAAGCGACATTAAAGAAAAAGAAAGAACAATTGGAATCAAAGATCTAATATCATAATCACTTATAATGATCTACTAGGAATCATAAATGGAGCTAGCACGATCAGCCAGACATAACCCCAAAAAGAAAAATCAACATAAAATCTAAAATCATAATTATCAACAACTTCTATCCTTTACAATAAACCCAATACTTAAAAACACAGATTCAAAGACCCAAATAAAAAATAAATTCAAAACCACAAACATTAAGGGGAAAAAAACACTAAAACAGCACAAACTTCATCTAAAAACAGCCCAAAAATCTGACGTCACAATCAACAAGTTTTCTCCTTTATAACAAAAGATTTAAAATATCCAAAAAAAAACCCAAAAATGAACAAAACCCATGAAGCAAACAGACCACACCTCATGAAGAAAAGACTCCATTTGGGGCTTTGCAAGATCAGAGTAAAGAGCCTCCATGATTTCACCCTCTCTCTCCTCGATCATCCTCAAAATTCCCTCCAACTGATTCTTCCTCCATTGGAAGCTCCTCGTCTTTCCAAGATTGAAGCTCTCTCTCAGCCCTCGAACCACCATTGCAGCGTTCTCGCTGTGGAGGACCTCGTCTCTCTTGCCGACGTCTCCCATTGAAGAAGAGGAAGAGGGGGTTGTTGGTAAATAGGCGAATGAGGAGAGGGTAAAATGTTAAAAAGGAATGGGGAGCAGAGGAGGAGGAGAAATATTGTGATTGAGATATAATAGGGAAGAAGCGTTCAACTCTTTTAAGGAGGAGATGAAGGAGTTTTCAAATAATGGTTAAATTTCACAAACACCCTTCAACATTAAAAGTGATTAGAATTTTAGAGAAAACCCCCTTAAACTTTGGGGAGTTTCACGAAACACTCTTAGGCTTACGAAAAAGTTTCACCTGATGTTTGGGATAAATTCTCTAATCTACAAAGTTCAGAAATTATTCAAGGGTAGAAAGAGAATAGTGTGAAGGGGGGAAAGTATTAAAGGGAGAGTTTTTTTTTGACAGATTTTAGTAAGAGAGGAGTTGAACTTTTCAAAAGCTCAATGGTTTCTGTTAAACTTCCGAAAGTATCGAGGCGTTCTCTAAGTAGGGTTTTTTTTATTTTTATTTTTTTTAATTTACACTTGAATAATTGACTGTGGGCTTTATTTACATTTTGGGACATAGGTAAGTAACAGTTGTGCTATTTGGCTTGTGGGTTGGGCAACTCGCGCCCAACTCGCAGTCAGGG